AGGACCAGTTGCTATCCAAACAGCCGTCCTAGTATCCGGGGCACTTGGATGGATCCTAACCGTCTCGATGTGCTTCTGTCTGACCGATTTCGAGGGAATTCTCACCTCCCCTACCGGCCTGCCCGCAGCCCAGATCTTCCTCAATGCCGGTGGCAGGCGAGGTGGCACAATCATGTGGGCATTTGCAATTTTGGTCCAATTCTTCACAGGCTGTTCAGCCATGCTGGCAGATACAAGAATGGCCTATGCCTTTGCCCGAGACGATGCGCTTCCATTTTCAAAGTAGGATGCTTTTGATCTTTGCACCCGATTCACGTTCCGCACTGATACATTATAGGTTCCTATCCATGGTCAATCCTCGCACCCATACCCCTGTCAATGCAGTGTGGTTCGTGGTTATCTTCAGCGTAGGTCTGAACTGCATCGCCATTGGCTCCACGCAAACAGCAACCGCAATCTTCAACATCACTGCCCCGGCACTAGACCTCTCTTACGTGTCTGTCATTCTCGCTCATCAGCTCTATAAATCGAAAGTCAAATTCATCGAGGGCCCCTTTACGCTCGGCAAATGGGGTACTTCTATTAACTACATTGCTGTTGTCTGGGTCTTGTTCATCAGTACAATTCTTTTCTTCCCGCCACAGCTTCCTGTGACTCCTGCGAACATGTAAGGCGCTTGAACCCGATTTATGTTTTAGATACAAAAGAGCATGCTAACATATTCCTACCTAGGAACTACGCGATCTGTGTTGGCGGCTTTATTGCCGCTTTTGCTTTGATATGGTGGTGGGTTGCAGCTCGGGGGTAAGAGACATCTGGAATTAACCCCATACTTCTAACATCATTCAATTGGATACTGACATGTGCTGCCTTCTTTCTGCAGAAATTACACTGGTCCCCAAACCAATGATACCATACGGGAAATTCCCACCGAGGACGATGGCAATGATTCCGAAGAGTCAGGCGAGACCACTGTTTAGATGGCAGATTCGTCTCTTACACCACGACGATCTGTGGTTTCATTTTTCGGGTTATAGAGTAGATATAGATTATGCTCATCCTTGTTTGATGTTTTGAGCGTTTAGAAATGGGTCGTGTTGATTTCGGGTTAAGATTGTGCGTGGATGATAATGTTGTTTTTGCATAGAATACTGCATTTAGCATTAATTTGGGCAAACCATTAGAAGAAAATATTATAAATCTCATGTTGTTTGGCAGAAATAAATGGCTATGAATGCTTTGTTGATCATGAAGTTATACATCGTGGAAAGATAGAAATACATGTCACGCGTATAGCCTTAACTGCCTGCAACAACCGCCAGGCCCTCGTAGATTTTCCTTTTGACAGCAAGGAAGCTTCCTGTTCCACGGCCAGCAGGCCGACCCAGTGAAGACTGCGCCGTTGCTTCAATTTCGATCTTGCCCGTTCCCGATTTGCGCACAGCTACGGACTTGTCAATGAGAAGCGTTCCCTCGCCTCGGAACTCAGCAGTGTGACCAGCGGATTGCATCAGCTTGCGAAGATCAGCCAATCGTAAGTCACCGACATGAAGAGGACGGGCCATAGACCTGGTTCCTGCAGCCATGCTAGCTGGGAGAGTGTCAAGTAAAGGATAGACCTCCATCTTGTCGTTTATTTTCCTGTCTGCTTGTTCCAACGTCGGGGCGACAGCGGAAGAGGCTGCTTGGTCTTTCAACTGCTTTACCTTCTTGCCTGATGTTTCAACGTCCCCAATCTCGGCAGGCTCTGGTCCTCGCAACTGTGCCGTGAGAGCAACGACGCCGAGGCTGCGGACGTGCTGCCAATTCAAGCGTCGAACGAGCGTGTTGCTCAGCTTGACCATCCAGGCATTTGTATCGACACTTGCATCGATGACTTCGCCGTTCGCCGGAGTGAAGATAATGGCAGCTGAGTCAAACGCAGGATCGGAAACCGTAGCGCCGAGCTTGACTGTCAGCAATTTCTGGCATTCGGCTGCCAATGCTGACGTCTCTTCCTTCATACCACCAACCAGAATCAATTTTTGAGGTTGGATCAGTGGAATTAACATCTCCAAGCTGCGCTTGTCGTGCAAGCCCATGAAGTCGATAAACGCAATCCTAGCGTTGATAGTGATGGTCTGAGTATGGTAAACAACCTTCGCAGGACCTTCGAATGACTGGCCTTCTACTTCATCTTCGGACTCCGCAGCAACATCAGCGTCTTCACCATCGGAGGCAAGGCTGAGATGATCATCGTCAATCTTCTTGCCATCAATGTGAGGACGCTTCCGTCCTGCTGCGCCACCAGACAACTTGCGTGCATGGGGGCCGGCGGCATCATCCCATCGTCGTTTTTGGCCAAGTTTAGTCTCGGCATCGGTACGCCGTTGTTGCATATCAATCTCTTCGCGTTCTTCTGCTCGAAGATACTCCTCTGGGCGAATGAATTCTCCATATTCGTCTCCCTTCTTTCTTGGTGCCACGTAAGGGAACATGCGCTCGCGGCCCTTCTTGCCACGCACGTCGTAATCATAAACGTTCTTTCGACGAAGAAGGATGTTGATGCCCAGGTCTTCGTCGCTGACGGCAAGTTTGCTTCGAGTAGCATGTGCAAGTGAGGCCGAAAAGTTCAGTGCGCGACCCTGCTGTTCAGGATCCGAGTCCTCAGAAGAGGTAGAGCTCGATCCGTCATCGAGGGCATCTACGGCAGTTTCAAGAGTTTCTTGGCCAAGTGTTTGAGAGGTGTCTTGAAGTTGGCGTTTGGTCGCGAGATACTGCTGGTATATTAACTGCTCCCCGGTATCGAGAGGGGCTCGCTGCACATCTGTCCAGGACAATTCTCGTCCACCGCTGTGGACTTGTTCGATATGTTCGCCATCCGATGCTTTCTCTAGAGCCACGCCGTCTCTTCGCTCCTCGTACCACTGCCAAATCATGCTTCCAATTGTTGTCGAACTCTGTGATGGTTTCGATTCTTGAGTCTTCATATCCTTGCGGAAGGACTCCGTCAGCAACAACAGATTGTTGGGTCCTTCGGCCACTTGTCGAAGCGCATCCTTTGAGAAGCCCCAGTCCATTGATGTATCGGATGCAAGAATTACTTTAGGTCCGGGTTCTGCTAGGAGCTTCTCAAGTCGCTTCTTGCGCTCAATAATCTTGAGATGTTTGAAAGTGAATGGACCACCACCCTTGTTAGAGCCTTTATCCTGTCCACCCGTCCTTTGCCCGCTTGTGACATCTGTGCTTTCCGCCGCTTCAAACTCGCGAACAATGTTCTCGTCCATCCACTCCAGCATGCTTCGGGCGAGTCGGATTGTGTTGGTAACCTTCTTGCCAGCCAGATACAACCCGGCTCCTTGGAGAACATCCTCTTTTTCGCCATTCGCGGCATCGCGCCAAGAATGTTCTAGTGAGTAGGCTAGTTCAAGAACTCGCGCACTTGTGTCTGTTGGGATGAGAACTGTTCCACCTTTCGCAAGGCTACTTCGGATCATGTCGAGGAGGAGATCGTCTCGCTTTTTCCGACCCCCGAAGGTGCCAGCTTATCGCCCCCCGTTGTACTGCAGATCAAGGCCGTGGGTTTCCGCAACTGTTCAATGACTTCTGCTCCACTGGCACCAGAGCCACCGAACCACGCAGCACCCGCGACCACGCTCTCACGAGCCTGGTTCCAATCCATTGCATAGACAATAGATTCCAACCCATGCTGAATATGCCATATCGTTCCACCGACGGTATGACCGGCATTGTAGGCTGTGAGAGTAAGCCCGTTCAACGGCGGAGAGAAAGGTGACGGGAGAGGCTGATGCGGTTGGGAATATTTGAGTGGCTGAATGAGAGAGAAGTATCGAGAAATTTCCTCCGCTGTCGGCGATTGAAGAAGTATTCGGCTTGTGCTGCCATCGGTATCCCCGCCTGACACAGTCGCAGAGCCTGCTGACGATGCGCCCGGCTCGGAGACAGAAGCCTTCGGTAAAAATGTGGCAGCAAGCGGAGCGGAGGCATAAAGGTCTTGTAGGAGCGTGCGGCCGAAAGCGATGACGGGATTCGTTGCATAGATTGGGATTTGCGTGAAGAGGGGAAATGTTCGGCAGCAATGGACTAAAGCGCCGATATGGGCGGGCGTCGCGTGTGTCAAGAGAATGAGAGAAAGTGTAGGAATATGCCTGATGATAATATTAGCTCATCTGAATTCAAACAAGGAAACGCGTTAATCGCATGCTCACTTCTCAAGTTCCGCTAAATCAAGGGTATTAAACTTATCATCCCAGCCCACATCCACTAGGATCTTGATGCCCCCATCAAGCTCCAGGATAGACTGCGATGCCCTCGAAGATGACGAGTGGGCGCCAAGGAGGGGAGTAAAGGTGAACATCTTGAGAATCTGCCGTTTCTCACGGCAAACCTAGCAGTCGCGATTGTTCTACTGGACCAGCGATTCGGGGACAGATAGGTCACGATCAATGCAGCTATATGCCTCGAGGTATTTGGTCAATTCCAAGATTGACCCATTATCCCAGAGTGTCAAATTGATCCGACTTTCGCGAACAAAGACGAGAGATACCAGATGACGGGTGAGCTGTTTGGCCGGTTTGCACGTGACTAGCAATATAAATGCCGTAGAACTGATTGTATAGATCAAGTCCTTCCCTCAATACCTTCAAGTGGTTTTTTTTACTTACATTTCACATTTCACCTAGCTGTGGATAACTCTCGCCTTCTGTATTGGCTCCAGACATTTATCTGAGTATCGTGCAACCAAGCGTTGCCTTGCGATTATGCCATATTCTGTAACGGGACTTCGCTCCAACCCAGTGTTGTAAGAATGTAATGAATACTCATTAGAAGAATGATGACGGTCAAATAAAAGTATAACGAAAGTATAAAAAACCAACGAATTCAAACAAAAATGAATAGACATCCCAAACTCAGAATCTATATATAATCCGGTTAAACAACCATCCGACCATAGGAACATCCCAAACTCCACCACGAAACTATGGAAGTACACAACAGGCTTATCTAAACGATGACCACCGGGCTGAACTGACTGACTGCTCTTTTGCAGATGCTGGTCTTGGCCTTCTCTTACCTTGCCCCTTGCTCCGTCTTTTCGATCTCGAGACCTTCGTGCCCGCCGTAGGCGCAGGTGTTATCCCAGTCTAATCGATTATGATCAGCGTGATTCCCATAAAGCTGAATAATTAAGGTACTCACCGGATTCTGCCATTGACTGAAAGGCCGGTGCCTCTCAGCCCAGGGGGGTAGCATAGCGTCGACTGTGGGTTTGATCTCATGGCCCACCAATTCCTCCCCTGCCCACACTCTGACTCGGCGCACAGCAAGAGGGTCAGGGAAATGTCTCGCCCTCTGAATTGGATCCTTGAGATATGCCTTGGTCTGTTCCAGGAACCTATCTTGCAGATTATGCGGAATCTCAGGACTAGGTGCGTCGGCCTGCGATCTTGCACCCGCCTGATTTCCCGTAGTCTTCTTCAACAGTGCCAACGGCGGCTTGTCTGATATTTTCTCCGCTGCAGCTGCTCTCATTTCGTCCCGTTTCTCTTGTCCTGCTCGTGCAAATGACATAACTTTATCCACCCTGATCTCAGACGCTGTCTTCCTTCGAGTCGCAGGTGGTGATGGTGATGGTGACTCCATTCGCATTCGTTTACAAGGCTCTGTGACCCCTACCATTTCGAGTTCTCTTATCTCCGCCTCTTCCTGTGCGTCTTCCAGTGACGGCTGTGTTTGGCGCTTTCGTTCTGATGTTTCGTGATGTTCAACTCCACCTAACCTTTCAACTTGAACCAAACATTAGCATCATTGACTGGGATGACAGATAAACAGATTGACTCACAATTTCCTTCCTTCTTTCCATAATACCCCTCGATCTGCCCAGGGCTGAAGAGCCCATCATGGGACACCGGGGATAGGCTATTCGTCGATTGGACGCTATTATCGTCAGCGGCGTTGACCTTGCTAGGCTCACTGGTCTTGGAAGAAGCGCTGACCTCGCTGTCGGAGCCGGAGCCAGAGAAAAGGCTATCAGGCGATTGCTCTCGAGAGTCTCGAGCTGAGTTGGGCTCAACCTGAACGTCACCGCCGTCGCCAAAGACTGAACCATCTTCCGAGATTGTATCTAGAGCCCATCAATTAGCGTATTGCCGGAATATGTCTCCAATATGCAACATGTAATGTGAAAGTGATTGACCCTCCTCTTCCCCAGAAACCCGACAACCAAGAGTGGACCCAGACGCCTTGGGTAGGACTGCTTCTACGTAGCTCATTGTGTCTCACACTGTAGTTGACACACTCGCACACCATCCACAGGGTCCATTGGCACACTCATAATCAAATCATCTGAACACCTTGAATGTATACAGAGAAGGCAAAGTAATATGTAGAGAATGAGAAAATCGCGTCAAACTAAGCACATTTGTACTCACCACGTGAAATTTTCTCATCGTTTCCAAGAGACACAGGGGTTGTCGGTTCCGAATAAGTGCCTTCTGGATTTAATTCCAGGTCAGACTCTCTGGTCACAGACGACCTCCTGGAATCGACTGACTGACTTCCTTCGCCGTCCTGCTCGCGGTCCTGTTTGTTGTCTTGCTTGCTGTTCTGCTCGTTTCCAAGAGATATGGTGGCTGTCGGTTCCGAGTAAGGGCCCTCTGGATCTCGTTCCAGGTAAAGCCCCCCTGACACAGACGACTTCGTGGAGTCGGCTGACTGGCTTTCTTCGCTGCCATGCTCGCTACCCCGTTCGCTTTCCTGGTCTGGACTTGCAGAGCGCGATGCAGTCGGCCATACCTCCACTCTCGGTCGATTATAGATATGGGAAGCGGCATGCGGATATGGCTGCACCATGTAATCCTCTCGTTTCTTGACTGCCAAGTTTGGACGCTCATAGTTGGGGAAGTAAAAGCCCGTATCGCTTGTCTTTCGACTAGGTTGCTCGGAGGTCCCTGTCGCAAAGTGTCTTGTGATGGGCACTGGCGGCAGAGCTGGGTACCATTTGTCCCCAACGGTCACAGCCTTGGGCAAGGGGCCATGGGCTAGGGATTTATAGATCTGCTCTCGGATCTCTGTATCAACGAGCGTATATTCGAGGCACAAGTACGCAAGTTCGTAAAGTGCTGGGTATTCTAGGCCGGTCCATTGTTTGAAGTCGCCTTCTTCAAAGGTCCAGTGTAAATCTCCGAAGTCCTTCGAGCTGGTACTAGGGGCACGTCGTTTGGAAGGGACTTTTATGCTTTCGGTTTGAGTGATCACCCAACGAGGCTGCGGTGCAGTGCCTCCAATGTAGATGTGGGGTAGAGGTCGGTTGTCTTCGTTCTCCACACCTTCTGGGACATCAGCTTTCCTCATGTAATCCCATTCCCCAATAATTTGTAAAGCCGGACGCGTTGCTTTGGTCGGGCCGATCTCCACATAAAGATTGGGAGGAGCCAGAGTCTCGACCTTGCGCCTTTTGGACTGCGGTTCATAGTGCTCTTCTTCGCTTTCTTCGTCATCTTCGTCATCTTCGCCATCTTCGTCCTCGTCTTCATCATACTGATTTGTTGAAGCCTTCACGGTAGCTGCGCTAACACTGCTCTTTGTGGCCTTCGCCTGCTTAGTGGTTTTGGCGGCTTTGGCGACTTTGATGGCTTTAGTGACTTTGGTGACCTTAGTCACTTTAGTGGCTTTGGTGGCCTTGATCTTCGGAGCAGTTGCTTGCTTTGTGCCCTTTGTGCCCTTTGTGCTGCTTTTGGCATTGGCAGCCTTCGCGGCCTTTGCTGCAGCCTTATTCGCGTCCTTATCGGCCTTGGCTGCAGCTTTCTTCGCATCATTCAAACGCTTCGCTGCAGCCTTGTCGGCCTTCTTTTCTTCCTTCTCAGCCTTTATTCTGGCGGCTTTGGCGGCTTTTTCGGCCTTGGAAGGCTTAGCCGGTAAAGGATGGACCTTTGGCCGAGTGCCCGCAGTCATTGCTCGTGTCGTAACCATCTTTCGAGTTGATCGATAGTCTTCAGGTCTGATTTGATTTGTTAGCCAGAGAATGTGTAAAATGATGCCACCAGGACCATACTTGTTATCAGTTGGTGCTGTTACAACGATGATGATTGATCTGGCGATGGAAGATCCCAGTCAAGAAAGTCGTACTTCTGTTCGTAGTTGAGGATAAATTTGGACATGTTGGCTCTATATTAATATAGGAAAGAGACGGCTCACCTATCCGTGCCTGTAGACAAAGCACGAGCAGAGAGTGACGAAGAAACCTGCAGATACTTACGAGCACAAAGAGAGTTAAAAATATATTTTCGAGCCCTCTTCTTTGTTGACGACGCCCACAGCTTATTACAGACACGCCGATGTACTTGACAAAGAGCGTTTCGGGTCAATCTTGATACAAAGTTCCCCTTCGTTCAATCGGAACTAGCATTGGCTCAAATTACCCAAAGTTACTAGCAGCTGTATTGAAGCAGGTGTATAATTTTTGTCGACACTATTCACGCTGTGGGCATTCGTTCATTCTAAATCAAAGTTTCGAGGGGCTACAGAATATCAACATAAGCTGGTGAGAATGGAACAAAAAGAAGTCAATAGAACAGACTAAGGAATACAACCAACCTACCGAAGCCGGGCAGCTCAAAGAGAAAGAAAAAAGAGTATCATCAGACTTCGAACGGCGCATGTACCATGAACAAGGACAGGCGCCACAGGAAGCAAAGTAGTACCATGAAACTGATATTTAATTTGAAAATCACCACATCAAAGAGAATGAGAGTAGTTCCCGGAATATCAGTCCCAGAAACAGAGTACCTCGTTTTCGAGCCCAGATGACCGGATCTGAGCCGGTATTCCTGATCATCTCGAGAAATTTACATCCAGCTTGTTTACTCCGGACGAGAGGTCCAGATTTTCATATCTAACATCCAATAAAGTAGTATCCTAGCAAGTTCGACACTTTTCCCCGGACAAGCTAGGTAATGGGGAATTGCGAAGCGTCCGGCGAGTTAGGGCTTGCTTCCAAGTGGGGATATCAACCAGCCATTTCCACCGACCTCAGAAGCAAAGCTGACCGGGTGAGACTAAGCCTAGTTCGTGTCCGGATTTGGCAATGGTCCCCCTCATTTCCTATCACGAAAGTGTCTCCAAAACAAAGCGAAGCGTAATTCCCCGTTGTCTAGATCTGACACCGAAATTCGACAGAACGATACAAAGAACTTTGAGGTCGATGAGTCCGTGCGGCATGAAGGAAGAGCCTGTTTGATCGAATCGAGTAAGCAGCGTGGCCACTGGAATTCAATGGGCAGACGTGCTACTCTGCTATGATTGCTCCGTGCAAAATCCTCGACGGCTCCATATCAAATACTGAAGGGCAAGTTCGATCTGAGAGGGAAAAAACGCGTGGTAACTTTATCAATTTGGATTGATCTGATTGACTGGGTTGAATTCAAACCGTCTTCGATGTGGTCAGGGCTATTATTAGCGGACGGCTGTCAGCACAGAACAAAGGATATCCCAAAGTCAACATCCAGATATATACGAAAGCGCCGGTTTACAAGCCTTTCAGTTTGGGATGGCTTATAACTTTGCAGCATCATGACATAAAGAGGAACATCTTGTGTTTGAGGAGGTGGTGTCTCATGAGCCTGTCGATCTGGTTGTTGCTAGGATTCCCACATTCCAGTTGAGACTGCAAAAAATGATTGTCAATATTTATGTTTTGTTCTCACATGATTTTTGGTTTCCAAGTTGGCAAAATGATCAAACTAGGGAGGAGAAAAAAAGCCCCGGCGCTACTGGAAGAAGATTGGGGACAATGTACAAATAACCGGCTATCCTTTGAGAAGAGGATACAGGACCACACAATTACAGGATCTCCTGTCCTATACACCCACCATGTGGGATGCAATACATTATCTTTCGGTCCCTTAAGCCATGCAAGGTACGAGTATGTAGGGGGTCGAGGAGCACGAGTCAGAAGTAAACACTGGTGGAATAGGAAAACTATCAACAAACAACACTCTCATCATTCAAGTACGCTAGGTATATTTGCAGCCCCAAGGATAGTGGGATATCTGCCTGGTTTGGTCCTTAATTATGTCACGATATGGCGGACCCATCAATTTTAATTTTCTTCAAGCGAACTTCTGCGCAATGAAGCGTATTCACGCTCCTTGCCCACCCAGACTGCCTATTGCCAGTACCTGGGCTCGTCGAAGACATGGTAGCGGTGCCCGCGCACTCCCTGGCCGCGGAACAAGGCAGGGAAGCGGCGGCCAACGGGGACCATCTCCTCTGGGATACGCATCTCATTTTCGGGTTCGGGCTCGCCAATGACGAACTTACCAACCTAGATCACGAAACAGTCAGAAACTAAGCACGCGTGGGCGAAGAAATAAAGAAACAACATTACTTACCTGGATCTCTGTATCCGTGATGGTATCACGACTGATTCTGGCGTAGCCAGTGCGGTGCAGCTTCTTGAAGAGAAGATACTCACACCATCTATCCCAGTCGGTAGGATCAATATCCTTCATTTGGCTACGCTCGCTCACGTAGGTGTTGTAGTTACCCTCGAGCGGCTTGGTGACGAGGTAACTCAACAGGATCAAAGGACGCGGGGAGTCGCCCATCAGCTTTGACAGATACTCGCTCTGCAAGCGGCGGTCCTCGGGGTCCTCTTCCTGTCCGGAGTGGAACACAACAACATCAATCATCTCGCCGTACATGTCGAGTGTGGCGTGGATTGCAGGTGCCAGCTCACCAACAGGCGATGGGAGGAGGTGGTGCGTAGAGTTGACGATGGGGAACTTGGACAGCAAGGCGGAGCCCCAGGTGTGCTTGTTGGGACCGGGGCCGAAGTCAGTGTAGTAGCCAAGGTCCTCAGCGATGAACTGGGTGACGTCCCTGTTGCCCATGATGATACGCTGGTTGTCGGATTCGAGGAAACCAATGACATCCAGCTCAAGCTCACTAATGACGTCGCGCATGCGGCGCTCAGATGACCACATGTTGTTATCGAGGCCGAAGTGGACAGTCCAGATACCAGCGGTCACAACCTTGTCCTCCTTGTGATGAGGGGTGTAGTCATTGGTCGGGAAGCGGAGGTAGGCGATAGACACGGAAAGCAGTTGCAGCACAGCAAGAACGTAGATATAGTATGATCGCTGTTTCCTGCTGTTGGGGTTGACAGGCTTGTGAGGCTTGCGGGAGCGAGTCGAGTTCGAGGTCGCCGCAGAGAAAACACCTGCACCAATGGCTAGCATTGTAGTGGTCATGAGCCAGTCAGTGTGCTCACGAAGCAACGGGCCACCTGGCACGAAGGCATAGGCAACAACCCAAACATGGAAGAGCAAAAGGGCCACATAAACGATGAAGCCGATGCCGAACGTGCTCGCGGGTGAGTGACGAACGCTGGATGCAATCAGAACCGGAGCAACGGCCATGATATAGAATGCAAGAATGAGGGCACCATAAAATCCAGTCCAGTGGTGGTAGCAAGTAAGAAGAGCAGCACCAATGGAACCGACACCGAATGCAGTCCAGCTTCCAGCGATTCTAGGGTGGAAGATGCCGTACACAAGTCCAGCTCCCATTGCGAAGATCGTCAGAGCACCGTGAGGAGCTGCGAGCGGTCCGCGCACTGGGTATCCGTCCCAGACCCACGAGATCATGGTACTCGAGTCAGTCAAGAGCGATACGATGGCGAACATCAGAGCGCCAAATCCAACGCCAGCAAGAATGGACGAGCCCTTCTTGCCACCTGCTGGCAAGTAATCACCGCCGCTCGTGTTTGAGCCTCTCTGGGACCTCAAAACAGCGAACAGAGCAATGGAGATTCCGATTTTGTTCCAGCCACCATTCTCGGCGTGTACAATTGGCCAAAGGGGGTTGTTGGTCTTGCATGCAAACTTGGCAACGACAGACATAATTAGACCGATTCCCCAAGCCATAATACGGGCTTCGAGACGAGGAGTGTTGCCCCTTTCGGAAAAGAAGCTAGCGGTCCATGCTGCACAAGTAGTAGAAAGAGCGAACCCAGTCACAAAGAGACGGTTGGCAGGATCCTGGAACTTGTATGCGAGAAGTCCAACGAGCGAAAGCAGGTGAAGAAGGCGAAGATTCTTCACAGCTGCATATCGCAGGGATGGGATAACGTAGAGCAACGGGGATGTGCAGCAAACAATGGCGACTTCGTATCCGGAGATACCCATGTGCCAAAGAGGGAAGTCTATCAATATCAGACAAGTCCATCTGTACCAGGGAATGGATGTCACTTACACCAGACAAGGACAGGTAGGGCAGTCACGATAGTCCAGAAAACAAACTACAGTCCATTGTCAGTAAAGCAAAGACCAATGATCGACTGTTATAATTTACCCCATTATAGACATCCGAGGCGGCATCAATGATCTCGGTCCAGAAGAAGCCCTCGCCAAAGGTGTTGCCCACTGGCTTGCCCTTCCTACGTATGTGTTAATTTCCGGGATGGTTGTAGTTGGTTATTGGATTGTACACACTCTTTCTCCAAGACAGAATCCGCAGTCGTTTCCAATTGCCTAATGAGGACAAACTTAGACAATGTTTTCTTTGTTCAAAACCAATATAGCCTTTGGCACTATACATTCCATGTGGGCAGTGTCATTTTGGAAGCCACGGTACATACCCTCTGCTAACACCCTTAACATCCCGCACCACCAGTTCGAAGCTCTCAAAGTCAAGAGCTGTGACAGCATCAAAACCGACATCGAACAGGATTAGGGACCATTCAAAGAAGGCATATTTGGTGTAGGCTAAAGGTTTGACTGATTAGCATGCGGTAACCCCCAATTGGATACAAGGGTAAGTACTCACCACCCGGAACCTTGTGGACCTTGTGCTGAATGAAATAGTAGATCAACGGAATCAAAGTTCCAAAGAACAAGCTGGCCATGATTTTGCGGTACTTGACGGCACGACGGTTGTTCGGGCTGAGCGCAAGGCAACCCAGGGTCCACGGCAAGGTAGCCACCAAGTACGAGATCATGAAGATGTCATGCCAGTCGTGGTCATCGGTAGATGTGACATAGGTCCAACCACCGCATGTCAATGTCCGGAAGATGCCCACGCCAGCAACCAACTTGGGCAAGGTCGAGTTCGGACGCGAAGTGAGAATGTACCACAGGAAGACGAGGGCGAAGCGAGGACCGGAAGTCATAGCAATGAAGACCTGGAAGAAGGACCGTTCGGGATATCGGTCACCGATGGTCGCAGACACGGAGGGGAACCATTCGATGGGGTAGCCGTAATGTTCGTTTTGAACGATCTTGTGGTAGTGCAAAGCAACGCCGACAATCAATGCGCTGATGAACGCAGCATACGCGAAAACCGTGTGAGTCCATGCGACCCATTTGCCGTTGATCTGCAAAGATGTCAAGTCAGTGGCGTTTCTAGATCCGCATCAGATGGCGCTTTAGAACTTACGGCAACCACGGCATCTCCGTCCTTGTATCGGGGAGCCATGGCGGCGCAGAGGTAAAGGCAGTCTCTGCACCTATATGACTAAAAAAAAGCAAAAACCGGGAAAGAAAAGAATGTCAAGGAAAAGAACGAAAGGAAAAACGACTTAAACAAGATGTCACGAGCAAATGGCCCCTGAGGGAAATGAAAACAACGACCGGATCCCTCGGTGGTTCTGAGCGTCCCTTTACGCTAACCCAATGCGGCTAAGCGCACCCTGGGGCTGATCGGTGTTTTTTCAATGCGGGATGCCGACTTTTTTTTAACCTCTTCAGTGAACAGCAATCATGTCGGCCGCAACAGATAAGGCTCGATTCTTCCTCGAGAAGTCAGTGCCTGAGCTCAAGGAATATGAGCGCAAGAAGATTTTCACCAAGGTAAGCCCGCAAAGCGGAGTTCTTCCATCAGAATGACAGCTGATCAAGATAACCAGGATGAAATTTCCTCAATTGTTAAAAAACGATCTGATTTCGAGCACAAGCTCAACGCGCGCGGTGCGCAGCCGGTGGACTTTGTGCGCTATGCTGAATACGAAATGAACCTCGACGTGCTGCGAAAGAAGCGGGTGAAGCGACTTGGGATTCGGTCAGCAGGATTCAATGGCCAGCGACGCATTTTCTTCGTTCTCGACCGAGCTACACGCAAGTTCCACGGCGATATCAACCTCTGGGTCCAGTATATCGAATATGCTCGCAAACAAAAGGCACACAAAAAGCTCCTCATGATTTTCACCGATGCTCTGCGACTACACCCTACCAGCGCCGACTTATGGGTTTATGCCGCTAAGCACGTTCTCGATGACCATGGAGATATGACACAGGCTCGGAGTTACATGCAGCGCGGTCTACGGTTCTGCAAGAGCGCGAGGACAATTTGGGTTCAATATGCAAAGCTGGAATTGATTTACATCGCAAAGCTGGTCGCTCGCCAACGGATTCTCGGTCTTGATGAAGAGAGCCAGAAGCCCAAGCAGATTCAAGAAGCAGCATTCGACGACACCGATGCCGACATGATTGCGCTCCCATCACTCACAGCTGAGGACATCAACCCGAGCACAGGAACGGATGGAGAAGTAGACCAGGTTGCTTTGCAAAACCTGAACTCCACGCCTGCTCTGAGCGGTGCTATCCCGCTCGCCATCTTTGATACCGCCACAAAGCACTTCAACCACGATGATCGGTTCGGTCAGGAGTTCTTTGATATGGCTTGGGAATTCCAGGATGCGCCCTGTCTTCGCAAGATTTTGGAACATGTGATTGAGACGATGCGCGCCAACAAGCCTTCCAGCCCACGGACGCAGATTTGCTACATCAAGTTCCCGACCGCTGGGATCCCTCCCACTTCGGCCGAATTCCCGCGGGCGCTTGGTAGCTCGCTTGCCCGCCTCAGGGAGTACCCTATGGGCAAGGATCTCGCACGCCAAGTGATCAATTGGCTTCAACCTGTTCAGGCAACAGAGGACCTGGATCCTTCGTTGCAGAAGGTTATTGCAGCTACCGTCCGCAATGCGGAGCGCGCGGCACAGGAGTAGCATACATATAGCATACCCAAGTATTTGTACTTAGCACTTAGGCGTTGATCGGATATTATCAAAATTCAGGGTCCACTGGCGAACTTGTCCCTATGCTATCATCAGGCGGTTCGCATGATCAATTCTCAATCATCGTATTTGCTTCCCCGGCGACTACCTTTCTTGTCGCTGTGCTGTTTCTTGTCTTTAATCCGTCCCTCATTTTGAGCCTTTTGTCTGTTTTTTTAGTTAGATTTGCTCGACTGCTTACATGTAGAGTAAACATACAATTTTTGTACGCGATTTCTTTGCGCTTGGGATGTTTCCCCGGGAATCACCTCCTTGGCCGAGGTCTGCAATAGTTGATAGAGCTTGTCAAAGCAGGATTCCACATTGTTAGACTGTTTCCGCTCCTCGTCCGACTGGATGACTAGACATTGGGTTCTTTCGGCGGCATATCGGGAAGCGCGTAGTGGATGGTGTATCAGACGGGGAACCAAGGGCAGCAACGCGTCCAATGGGACTTTCAAGGTGGCCTTGGAGTTGACCCTATTTCCCTCATTTCCAGATTAGCATTGCAACATTACAGTACTATTGATCTTCAAGTGGGGGCACTGACTTGTTCACATTTTGCCCGCCCGGACCGCTGGATCGACTGAAAGAGACCTCGCAGATGTTGCGGGGGATGGTCTTGGAATTGAGAGTTTTGAGCCAATCCCTAGCTAATTGTACATCTTGGTCAGCTTGAGATGTGAATTTTCTCAAGGGTAGTGCCCGAAGGCAGGGTATACGCCATTGGCAATACATGAGAGGCAGTCCAGTATACTCCGTACGAGAAGAAGCACTGGAGAGGTGGAGTGTGACTAATTAAAACATCTAAAAATGAAAGGCCGTTTCTCGCCTGGTCTAGCCCCGCTTAGCGTACGTAACAGAAGCTTTTATTTTGACCGGGATATGCGATTTAGAGTGATTAGAGTGATTAAAGTATTTGAAGTAGTTAGAGTGGTTAGAATGATGTAGTGATATATTGGTTATACCTACTCCTTAATAGTCAACCATCTACAATTTACATGTACAATCTTGGAATACACATATACATATGTACATATTCTTTCAATTTCTTGTCTATAAAAAATAAAAAAAAAAAAAAAAAAACCAAATGCCTTGCTCCCGTGATACTGGACATATCCCGACATATCCCCAATCCAGAATCTCAACGCCTCCAATATTGCTCACCTGACAAAGGGTTTTTTTCCATATTTCCACTTCTCACCTCTAGAACCCCCCACCCTATTCCCTTTCCCCTTCTTCATCGCCTATTTTTCTTCCTTTTTACTCTTCCCCTTTCCCTTCTGGGTGAGGTCTGAGAAATCCGACCCATCTTTTTCCCATCGCCCCACCTTAGCTTGCGATTGCGAAAATTCCTAGGGTGACCCTCTTCAATCTTCCCCGACACTTTTTCTCCGTAGATGAAACCACCTCTTCCTCGAAGTCTACATGACGCCCAGCCCCCCCCGATGAAGCGCTTCACTTTCGCGGAAAGACTCTGACTCCGGAAAGCCCTCGACCCCTACACATCCCAGAGCCATCCAATATCCCAGTCTTAGAGAACCAAATGGACCCCGTCTTCAACGATACCTCCACCTATGAACGCTCGGTGTATAAACAGGCCCCGCAAACACATGGATGGTTGCACGGAGGGTTAGAAGATGGCCAGGGAGGACCGAGTCAGACCCAAGATGCTGGTAGTTTTCATGGCTCGCAGCCGAATCGTGGGATGCAGAATGAAATGATTGCTTCTGCATACTACCCTCCCAACCCAGCGTCGGGATCCGAAAACACTGGCCATCTCAGCTCAGGTTTTTCTCACCCCGATTCCACTTATTCCCACGCTGCTCCGGTTGCTCCGGTATCCCGGGGCTTTGCCACTGGGAGCAAAGTAGATCATGCCCACAATCCGGAGCAGTCAAGGATGCCGGACCGCCTAATTGATGAGGAGCGCGTGGGACATAACGCGGGAGGTGTCAATTTCCAGCAACTCCTCGACAATCTTTCTCACCCCAACCCTGGTGCAACCATTCCCGCCGTTTCTTCAGCTGAGAACTCGTCTCTCCACCAAGCGCCCGCTGGCGAGTCCCTCAAATCCCAGGGCATCCCTGCCCACCCTCAAGCCCAAAGCCAAGATTCTCTTCAGGCCCATTACACCCCAAATGGCGAGGTGGCATATCACCAACTTTCGTCTGCCCATGATCCCGCTGCCACTGCATCGCCTGCCTACTCAGCCCAACCTAGTAATATTCAACCTCAAACCCAGTCTCAGCCATTTAACATTGCTTCTGGAGGAGTCTCGGCCGTCAGCGATCTACTTCCTCCTATTGTCACCTTCCCGCAAACCCCATCTACCGGTGCCGAATCTCAGGGCTCCTTGCAAGAGCCTTCTGTAGCCTCCAAGAAAGGCCGTGTTGAAAAGCAGGGTCGGTCTACCAAGCCTGCTGATGATGATTCGCCCTGGGGTCCAGAGGTTCAAAAGAAATACGACGAGTTCCTGCACGATGAGCGGATATATGTGACGGAAGGTCTTTGGGATCGTTTCCCAATGGGCTCCAGGCTGTTTGTTGGTCAGTTTTGTTCCCGCTTACGTCTACTCTTCGTCGATCTAACAGTTTTACCATGTACAGGCAACCTCCCTACTGAAAGAGTCACCAAGCGAGACATGTTCCATATCTTCCATAAGTACGGCAAACTGGCTCAGATATCGATCAAGCAGGCGTACGGCTTCATACAGTTTCTGGAGGCGAGCTCCTGCCATGCGGCTCTCGGCGTCGAACAGGGAGCCATCGTGCGGGGCAGGAAGATACGTGAGTGCTTGAAGCCATAACTCAACAACTTTTCTCTCAAAGACCTAACCGTCCCTAGATCTTGAAATCTCAAAGCCTCAGCGATCGACCCGACCCGCTCAAGCACCCGAAGTTTCTCGTGCACCACCGCCACGTCGTTCCCGGTCACCGGAGTTCAGCCGTGCCGCTCCTGGGCGAACTAACGTCCGGGCCCCGGCCGATCGATACGACCGTGCTAAGCCATATGAACCAAGTCGGCTTCCATTTAGCGATTTCCGGGATGAACCCTCTCACCGCAGCAGACGCGACGATTATCGCCCGCCCCGATCGCCTTCCCCGCGACCTTTTCGGGGGTCTAGAGATGGGTATCGGTCGCGCGACAGAACCCCAGAAAGGTTTGATCGCCGCGAGCGAAGGCGCTCCCGCTCTCCACGTTCTCCTCGCTCTCCTTATTCCAGAGATCGACGTTATCGCAGCATCAGCCCAAGACCACGTGGTATCTATGAAGGTGAAGCGGATTTACCCGTACCTCGACGCGCTCAGCGAGATGTACCAGAGGTGCAGCTCCTCGTGCTGGAGGAACTTGATAGGTGGGTTGAATCTCTCGGTATCTGTTTGGACAAAGTTACTGACATTGCGAAGAAACTTCGTTCTTCATGTAGAGAACGCTTTCCGCAACCGTGGATTGCGAGTGGATGTCCTGGTGCTTGGTCCACGGATCCCTCTTGGCGCCGCTGTGCATCGTCAATTTATTGAAGGTGTTCTTGCGGTTGTCCGCCTCTCTCGTCCGAACCAAGTCTCTCGGAAGATTCCTCTGCAGCTATTTGATCGTACCGCTGGATTGGATAACGTTCGCTTCCTTGGTAAGCCCATTCTGTGTTCGCTTCTTTATCGACGCCTTGCTCATGTCTCCTTTCTCACATAGATTACCCTGAGCTCGAGCCTAATATGTCTGCTGAGCTCCTGAGCCACCAATCCCAAGCGATGCAGCGAGGAGCAGCCCCAACCGCATTTGCACCCAATCCTGGTTTCATTGTCCCTTCAGCACAGCCTATGTCGGTTCCTCCACCTGGCTTGCCTGCGCTTTCAAATCCACCCAACATTGCGAACCTCATTGGTTCACTGGATGGTCCTAGCCTTTCAACTCTCTTGTCGGCGCTCCAGCGACCTCCCCATTCGCAGCCCGTGTCTGCCACGCAGTCGCCCTTTTCCTCACCAAACCCACCTCCGGCCGACCTCGCCAGTCTCCTGACCAACGCGCATCGGCCTCCACCTATGCAAGCCAACCCACAGCAACCCCTCCCTCACCCACCCTTCAATCCCCAGCCTGTAAATGCACCCGTCATCACCGATCCAACCCTGCTCTCGCTCCTGGCCAAAGGACTAGGTGGACAACAGCAGCAGGGCCAGGGACCCGTGGGTCCCCAGGTACAGAACCTGATGCAGCACCTGGCTAAATGGAAGCAATGATTTCACGACTCTCTTACTACCTATCATTCTCATTCGAACTTAAGGTTCATCTTGTCGTTGTTCATTTTCGGAGCCTGGCGTTCTTGCATCCCTACTTGGTGGATTTTAGTGCTCTGCTTCGGTTCCTTTTTTCTGGCTGGCCAAAAACCAGTTCTCGCAACACTAGGCGTTTCCTTTTCTTTCCTTTTTGCTCTTTGCTTCTCACGTGTCACAAACGCAGTAAGATATTAGGTAAATATTAGGGTAAGGCGGTATCTAGGATGGAGTTGACATGTCTTTTCAGCCATTGGACTCTTGCTTATTGTGATTACTGGGTTATTGCCCCCCTTTGGATATAATACGGACGTTTCCTAGATACGTATTTTGGGTTATATTATTGCTGAATATCTCTCCCTTTGGCATCAAAGTGTGTACCTAGGTCACTCTACCATATTCTCTCTGCCAGGGGCTTTATAGGGCTTCTTAGGTGCCGCTTTTATGAGGACGATCAGAGTCAAGATGAGTCAAATTCTAGTCCTCCATATTGTAGACAATTGCACAAGTTACCTGTATACATACATTTTCCGGGTTCCTGTAAAGGCGTTATCAAAATCAACCCTATCCATTCCATTGAAATTCCGAAAATTTCTCCTCTCTTCTGTTTTCCATACTGCTGTAAACAGTGATGAGCTCTTGATCTTAGAATTTGGGTTATACAGGGCATAAGATTGAGCAACCAAGCCATCCCAGGCTTGCAGCTTCTAGCAATGTACCTTTGAAACGGAGTGATCATCAAGGTACGTGATAAGAGAGGATATGCTACATATTGTACAAAAGCCGCCGACGAACTTCCCCTGGCTTCTTATTTCGAATTCCAACCTTTCTCCTTCAACTCCTTCACCTTGGCCGCATCCTCCTTTTGAATGCGCTCAATCGTCTTGTCCCGGTTGAACTCCATCACACGCTTTTCCTTGAAGTATTTCACCTAGTAGACGCAAGAACCTCGAGTCAGCAACCTGCGAATGAATATATATATAACGTAGAACAAGCTGGGGAACACCAAAAACCGGCAATTCTGAGCAGCCGATCAAAGATCCCATCGTACGTACCCAGCTTTGTGAACATGCTGCCTCAAACTCCACGACCTCGTTCGCGCACTTCTGTCGCGCCTTTTTATCATCTTTAATGCCGTCCAGGATATCGTTCTTGTCAAGGCAGGCGAAAAATAGATCGCGGCCCTCCCAACAGCGCGCGCGACTGGTTCGGTCCGGGGCAATGCGGCCGCCGTCGGAGGCTGCGTTCTTGTTTGAATCGCCGGAAGACCAAGGTAGCCAGCCCATTTTGGAGAGATGATTATACCAGAGAGGGAGTGGGTGAGGAATTGACTCGTCGAGTTCGAATCAGTAGAGTATCCTGTGGTTTGTAGCGAGTTTGCAGCCAACAGGTGTCAGTGACGGCAGATGTCCAGTTGTTGGCGGGTCGGGCCTGTGACCGCCAAGTCTGTTGATCCCAGGCAGGCGATCTCCATCTCCGGACCCTTTTTCACTTTCGCACTCCACGTTCTGGAATTTACATATAATTTTGAAGCCTCTGGCGCTGGATACTTTTCGTCTCTGGATTTCACTTGGAACACCCTCCCGATTAACATTGCATGTTCCCTTCCTCTCGCCTCCACTAGCTTACCCTCGCCTCGACCGCCGGGCTCACTCCGACCAACTTGACGCCTCGACCTTGAACGAAATTCGCCAAGGGCGACAGGACCCCTATTGTCTATTTAGTTGATGTCCGCGCGCCGGCGTCCACCAGCGGGGTCGCGCACTGAACTCCCTCCGCTGAAGATCGTCCGCAAGATCCTCTTGCTGCAGCTTGCATACTATGCCTGCGCCACGGTGCTCATCTTGTTCACGACAGTTGTCTATGGCGCACCGTTCTCGCTAGACCTGGTCTTCGGCTGGGACTCCCTGCGCGGTGATACAACCATTGGATGGATGTTGGGGTTGGTGTGGATGTTGAATTGCTTTATTAGGTGAGTTGTCCACTAGTTCGACATTGCGAGCAGTGTTCCGATCAGCTGGCTAACTATATTCTCCTCTCGGGGATATCAGCGTCATGTTTCTACTTGTTTTCGTATCCCGCTCAAAGCTGGTCCCGGATTTCGCTCTGACGATCCACTTCCTCCACCTCATCGCCACTACTTTGTACACCCACTCCCTCCCTTCCAACCTACTCTGGTGGGGGCTTCAATTCGCCAGTGCAGCCATGATGACCTTCCTCGGCATGTGGGCGTGCCAAAGACGGGAGCTGGAGCCTATCAAGTTCGGTGGACATGGTGGCAGCACTCAAGCTGGCCCGTCCTCACAAGCATCTGCCGGTGATGGCCAGCAGGAGTCGAGCTTTGGCCGCGGCCGCGGTCGAGAACGCAGCCTGCAAGAATATGAAATGGATGATATGAAGCACACCGGCGAGCATGCTGTATGAATCCGTGCCCCCTCGCTCCCTCGCACCCTCGCCCCATTGTTGATGTTCCCCGTTGGGGCGATGAACGACTTTTTGCTGCCCTGTTATGCCATTTTTGTCTTCTTACGCTCCGGTCTACCATGGACTGTTTTGATGCATCTTTTCCATTTTGTATACCCTTGCGGCAGTTGCATCTGTATAGATGGCGTTTGTTCTGAAGGAATTGATTTCCATATTCATTTGTTCGATACCTGTTTACATTAATACCTGCTAGTTTTTACTATTCTCCTCAGTCAGACAATCTGACGAGCTATATGAAAAAAATTCATGTATATCTCTACTTCTTGAAAAGAGACATTGTCTCTCATTGTGCCTAAGCCTTGTATCCACGAAGGTCAAATGCAACTGAGCGAAAACGTGTGCTGTATGTTATAGTGAATGATTAAATCATTGCCAGAGGAGCGTTTGAAGTCAATACAGCCTCCCCGGGGCCCTTCATTCAAAGCTCTTATAGACAAATATTGTGGTTGATGATTTGCTCTTTCGACTTCCTATGTTACAATACTGCCCTTTGAAATCGTCTCCTTCGCGACTGTCTCGTAGAGTGGAACGTGGTTTTGAATACTATCCTCCAGTTTGAGTGCTTATTATTGTCTTATACCATGGAGAATGCATATGCTACACATTCAGAAAAGCTTTGAACCGAATCAGAAACTGTCATATATATTGTTCACACTTTACAGAAGAAATCTTCCGTTTGTCTCTTCAACGAGCAAATCAAACTCAGGCTGGAACTCAGTATAGAAGTTATGCTAAAAGTTGTCAGTATACATATCCTCAAGCACTTTGGGCATATGTCCATTCCACTTACAGGATTCTGGGCAGCATCGGCAGTGAACTTGGCCGCATCATCCTTGATAATCTTCTTTGGAAGACCATTGGCTGCTGCTGCTTCAGCAAGAAGCTGTGACTGGCAAGCATTCTCCAGCATAGAGTAGAGGATCGCTGCTTCATCAACAGTCCGACCGACAGTTAGGAGGCTGTACATGAGTAAAGACAAATTAGTCAGATAGAACTAGACGCATACAGAAAACACAACGGCGAAAATCGACTCACCCATGGTTTTGCAAGATACATGCAATGTTTTGATTGCCCAATGCCCTTGCAATCGCCTTTCCTTCCTCTGCCGACAGAACAATGCCGCCATGGTCTTCGTAAACACCAACTCTGCCAAAGAAGTTGCATGCGTCTTTATCCAGCTCGTTAGCACAAAGTCAAACCCCCCAATGTCACCTCAAGAGAAAAGGAAAAGCAACTAACCTTGTGTAAGCATCTCAATTGGCTTTCCAAATGAACTCCACGTCTTTCCATGAATACCATGTGTGTGCGCCGCAGCCACAACATCCGGGCGTGCTTTGTGGATCTCAGAATGAATCAGGAACCCAGCTTCATTAACAGGCAGCTGAGCTCCGCCGTCGACGACGAACCCATCAGCATCCAGAAGAACGAGATCCGAAGCCTTGATAGTCGAGAAATGCCTGGCGAACGGGTTCATCCAGAAATGGTCCTTAAGGATCGGGTCTGCAAGCCGTCAGAATATTCTTCCTTGTTCATAACGCATCTCACATTCAAAATAGAGTTTCACACTTACCTCGCATCGAAATGTGCCCGGAGACACCCTCCCCATACCCTAGCTTGCCAAAGTACCGGAATGCAGCAGCCATGTGCTCCTTCATCCACTTCCGTTTTTCAGTCAGGTCTGAGAATGTGGGAATGCCACGGAGTTTCAGAGTGCCGTTTCGGCCTCCACGAGCCAGACCCTGGAACGATGCATCGTTTGCCGCTGGAGGTAGCGGAGGTAGTTGATCTTCGTTGGTCACGCGAACGGACTGCTCTTGCTGCGTTGTTGTTGTAGATGTCGACATGGCGGAGAATTGTCTTGGTTTAAAGTACTATCTTAGGAATCGCGCCTTAAATGTCGAGAGTTTATGTTCATGAGGTCTGGTACTCGGACTAAACTCCGAAGTCTTATCTATGAACCCCGCTCTGTCGTTGGAAGGCGTTGGTAGCAAAGTGCAACAGAGAATGTCAGTGCATTTGAATGCATTTGAACTTGAACTTGAAATCATATATTCATTGGCTTCAGAGGTATATCATGCCATTGTGATAAGATTATAAGATTGGTTAAGCTTCCAGGCTTTCCCAGGTTGGTTCTCTGCCTCCAAATCCCCATATTTGCCTGCGCCACCACATATGTATTGTATTATGAGACGGATGTAATGAAGTATCTTTGATTACTCGTATTTTGTGATTTATATTATTATCCACAGTCAGTAATGGCCTCAACACCTATATCTGCTGGGAATGTATAAGGTGACTAAGTGATAACACGTGACCCGTTATCAGCCATGTGGGCTTCCTATCTCAAGGCCAATATCCCTCTCTCCTCCAATGACCAAGTCGTCTGATGTCAAAACATTGAGAGTCGCATTGAAGACATATTATTTCTGAACTCCACATGCCCCTGATTTTGGCTGGCTCAAAAGGTGTTCTCTAGTTACTTCATTGCTCTTTTCTTCTATGCGGCCCCATTGAGATAGACATTGGACGCGTCTAGACCCATCATGGCGGAAGGAGATCCGTCATACATAGACTATGAGGCCTTCTTAGACCCAGATTTCTCCCCATCTTCATTCGCCAATACATTGGTGACGAGCACAAACAATGCAACAGATACCCCGTTGGATTTGTCAACACCATTGTCACGGGTGCTCTTTGATCTTCAGGAGATCGACACACACATCCATGCATTGACAACCAGATCAGCGCTCCCATTGCTTTCACACACCCAAAGCCAAACTGCTGCCGCCGATAATATCTTGAAAGAATCAGGAACGCAGATTGCTTCTGTAACCCAAGGGTACGAGCGCCTCCAAAAGGAGGTTGTACAAAAATGGGAAGCAGCCGACGAAGCCCGTATTGCTGCTGAAAACTCGCTTGAAACTGTCCGCCTAGCAAGGGCCGTTGCGCGCTGCTTAGCCCTGGGCAGACAGCTGGAGAGTCAGGTTTCTGAAATTACAGGGCGAGGCGCAACAGGGCCGGACCCCTCAGCGGGACCGGATGGAGCAGCATCACCGTCAGCTGGAAAAGATGGCTTCCGCGCACTGGAACGAGCAGCCTACACGATTTTGAATCTGCGAGAAATGTTCTCAGCCACGACACAGGGCGAGGAAGGCTATGGTTTGGATCGGGTGAAGGTCATTCGCACGCTACGCGGAGAATTCGTCATCCCAGTAGAGAACATGGTCAAGTCGAGAGCGCAACAGAACATCAACAGATTCTCTTTGTCATCAAACTCGGCAAGCGCTAATGGCCAGTCATCCATGCCATCTAGCTATAAGCAAGCCCGCGATGCCCGAGCACGACTGGCAACCGCCGCCACAACTCTATATCTTCTTTCTCCTCCGCCAAAGGGCGAAACCACTGCAGCCGACTACAAGGCCGAACTCTTATTGTCAACATTACAAGGGTTCATGCACACAGCAATCATGACATCCGCAAATTCCCTCGCCCGGGCTCTTACCCAACTCCCAACCATGGACCGAACCCTCGCCGACACCTCCGCACGATGCCAAGATATAGTCGCCTTGGAGAACATTCTCAGAAACCTCCGCCCTCCACCACACCCTCTCTTGGCCTCCACTACCACAACCGACGAACCCGCCACCGAACCGCAAACAGCGGACTCAACCAAATCTAATCTCCTGCAGCCTCTTCTCCAGGCTTTAGACACATCATCACTTCCTTCCTACTACTGGCGCTCCCTCGCCTCGTCTCTCGCCCCGCGTGTCCAGGAAATCGTCAGCCGAGGCGGTGTCTCTGCCCGTACATTGCGATCCAACCGTGATCGACTAAGAGTCGAAATTAAGGAGTGTGTGCTCCGTGCGTCGCAGGTGTCAGCTACCAGTCTGCTGGCCGAGAAGGGTCGGCCAGGAACTGACACGGTGGTGGTTGGAAACTGGGAACGAGAAGCTGCCGTGATGGTGGGCTCTATTGTTGGTCCTCTGGGACGGTGATCCTGTCTACGGCAAGCATGGTGTACATTTTACTGAATCTTTCCAAGGGAGATTCGAGATTCGGTACGAGATAGATGAGGTCGGTCCCAAGGATTGACTACAGCTCTAATGAGAAATATAATTGTATGGCATCATCTATCTAGAGTGGTATACTACACCAGAACTTGATATGCTCTGGTCTTCAGGTGTGAACTAGAGATCCGGAGCCAATTCTTCTAGTTCATAGAATAAGAACAGTCGGCCGCTTCTACAGCCTTTATACCCAACGATGTAGGTTTTGGAAATTTAGGTATCTAGTTGGAAAGAGATACTCTTGACATGCAGAGGCTGCATGTCATCACCAAACGACTCGGTCGAATTGAGTATCAAAAATCCGAACTTCGTTTACGCTTCTTATTCCTCTTCTTGTATGCTTCTTCATGTCGGACGTGAGCTCTTTCACGAAGGTGTGCAAGTTTGTCGCCATGGAATTTTCTTGCGCGTATTTCCACTCGGATTTCGGTGCTTTCATTGTTTCCACAAATATGGATAGCATACTGATCGTAGGCCCTCGCTGGTTTCTGTCTGCTGCACCAAATCCAGCATGGGATTGCCGGACACCGAACGAATATTTCGTTTAAAGTCAAGACCATTCATGGCCAACCCCTTCTTCTCGGTGTAATCGAATACTTCTTCCTGGCTCCACTGCTCGTACTCCAAGGTGAAAGTCTGCCGGTATAGATATAGGAAAGATCCCAATAATAGAAGCAGTTGAAGGATCAAATATTTGAGGAACTCGAGGTCCATAGCAAGCTATCACTAGATAACCGCAAGCCAAGAGCACCGAGGGCCAAAAATGCGTAACATCTGAATGGAGCAAATGCAGCAGACAGTTCACTCCGGTGATTCTTTTCCACCCATCGGCTGACTTCCAGTCATTCCATAGAATCTGTCATGCTGCAAGCAATATTTCCTGTCGACTGAAAGATCCTGCTGTCATCGAGTATGGGCCATCCCGAGGTCGCTCTCTTTAGTGATAGCTGGACTTGGTCATCTCGCATCTTCCAACGCTTTATCTCAGACGCAGAACCAGATCACGTTGGAGTCCCCATCATCATTCATTCTTGTTTCACAAAGTTCATCAGCCTTTCGATGAAAAGACCCGTGCATGGCAGACATGTTGATTGATCCTTGCGAATTCCATCGCTCAAGTTGGTACTCAATGAAACAAGCAGCTTCAAACCAGGATGCTTCAAACCAGTATGTTCGAGGGATATCAGCGGACTTTCTGAGATCCACGAATGACTCCAAAACCAGATCATGCATGCTTGGGCCAGCGCTGTCCCAGCGTAAGGGACATAAGATATTGCTGTCTGAATATACCTTTATAGATGATGTGGAACAACAGGAACATGAGGTCACCCCACCCCGACAGTGTTAATATGAGGGACACTGATAGAACGCTTCTTTTCCAACAATTTTTCAGCAAGAAGAATTTCTGGTTTTGCTTTGCGACAACCATGAGACAATGTGCATCATCGGGTTTGAAAATAGGTTCCACTGGCCGTCGACTTCTCAGAGTCTTTAGCAGGGCCGCAAAAACCAATGCACCATGCGTTATCTCTGGCCCAACGCAGCCCTAGCGTCACCATATAGTAATAAAGGAATATACCCTTCCGAAAAACATAAAATAGCGATATAATCACTCACTCTCCGACAGTCTCGATTTTGTCTGGGCAGAACGAGTGGCCAGCTTTTTGGCAAGTTTGACGTTAATTCCAATCGAGACTATCGGGGTAGACTCCTCTCATTGCGAGACATTCTTCGTATTCACCAATTTCCTTAACAAGAAGGATTGCTTTGCTTTGCTTTTGCAACAGCACACATGAGACCTGGGACTTCCCTTGCCCCATTGAGTAGTCATTGCCGCTTGGGGACAACAAGTCATGGGAGGTGGACGTGGTACTGCAGGCCGTGGTGCCAATCGCCAAGAGAAAACTTCTGTCAGGCTGCTACCAAAAAAAATGGAGAAGAGAAAGCAAAGGAACATGCTTTCATTGGCATAATAAACGAGGCATCAAGCATTCAAACAATTCCTCATCTTTGGTCGTGTCAGGATGCCTCTTGAACTTGCATATCCCGGAATGGAGCGCTTTGACACCAGTAAAAAGAATTGAGGGGAGTGCATCGTCTGATTATAGTATATACCAACACTCAAATATCTATCTATGCATATAGGTAAACGCGGGTATTCAGCTCCCATGTCGACTTTGGGTCGCACTCTGTTTCGAGCATTTGATCCAGAGTCGGCCCTTCAATTGGAGGAAACGAATCTTCATCTAGCCTGTAGATCTTCTTCTTCTCCTTTGTTACTTTCAAAATTGAATGAGGGCATTGAGGATTCGGGTCGGAGGAAGGAACACTTGTCGGCATTTGCAGGTCCATCTGTTCGTTGTGTGGCGGAGTAGATAAGCCCAGAAATGAGCCGCCATGCAACAATCAAAGACGTGGGAAGCAGTCCGTCTTGGAAGGCGCAAGTCACGGATTTAAGTGACTTTATAGACCACCTGTCTTTGCTTGTCTTTGCTTTCAGAACCTTTCCGGCGCTTTTGATGTCTTTGAGAGCCCCCCCCCCCCCCCCTTTTTGCACCCGCGGCTCTAGGGATTTTTATGAGTGCCCTTTAGCTCTTTTGATGTTGTCGAGAGCCCTCCTGGTTCTAGGCCTTTTTTTTTGAGAACCTTTTCCGGCTCTTTGTGATTGGCTTTCTGAGCCAGCTCAGCTCTTTGTGGTTGGTTTTTTATGCCTCTCCAGCTCTGTGAAGCTTTTTTTGAGAGCCTTCCGGCTCTTTGGGGTTTCTTGTTCGAACCTCCCGGCGTTTCGCCTTTTTGTGAACGTCTTCCCGGCTCTTTGAGGCTTCTTTTTAGATTCTGATAAGCCATCTCTGCTATGCGCTTGCTGACATGAGGCAAAGTTACCAGCAGGATCTCAATGTCAAGGCGGCCATCTGCGAGAACCAATTGGTCGATGACGATGTACATGATATCAGTGGGCATCGTTAGAAGGAACCAACCATAAGGGAGACACACTAATCCACATTCGTGACAGAGCGTGTATACCATAGCATCAAGGTCGCACTTAGCAAGTCCCATGAACTGTATCAGGAGTTACTTTCTGGTAGAGGCGTCTCTTGAGCATTTTGGACTCCTAAGTCAAACATCTCGCAATCCAGGGCAAGGGCCTGTCGTCTGGCTGTGCTCGCGATTTGGCACTGGGAATAATTGCCTCGCTTGGTCATGGTGGGAAGGCTGTCGATGAATGGCATGGTGGCGATGATGATTATTGGTAGATGAATTCTGAAAGTCGAACATTGGAAACACAATGCTAATAGCCAAGGGAGGTAGGCGTTCATACCTAGGTACCATTCCCGAGGGGGCATGGCGTTCCATGGAACCGGACCCGTGCCGGCGAATAAGGATTGCACAATCCGCTGTTTCGGGGTTCAGACATATCCTCGGCATCTGTTGTCTAGTCTTCTTGCCAGACAATGATTGTCGTTTTGCGGGCTCGGTGTTGTTGTGAGTGTGGATTGTCTTTTGAGGATCATTCGGCTCTTCGAAGCAGGAAATAGTTGTTCAACGTGCCAAGTCTGGTCTGGGTTCAATCCCATAATCCATCCTAGTGTTTTTTCGCGTTTGAAAGGATGGTAATAATCGGATAGACGAAAATTCGAAGGTCGAGAACGGTTGTATCCAGCAAATATCTGTAGAATGGAATCCCACCATTGATAGTGATAAAGCTCAGATCGGAGACATAGTCTCGTTGGGCATGTGTCAGCCTTTCAAGCTGCTCGAGGAAAGACTGCCAATCATCAACCTTACACAGAAGGTCGATGTCAAGCTGCTGGACTTGCTGAAAGGCGAATTCTTATCCGCCTTGACAACACGTCCTGGTTCCCCTTGTGGCTCAAAGATTTGTCAGGAGTCTGGGCGGAGTAGTATGAAGAGAAGAGAACAGAATCTGAGACAAAGGAAGGCGAGGAATCAATATGGTTCATGGTCGAGGCAACCAGGGTCAAAGGATCCTTTGTTGGTGTTGATTCCTGGCAACCAAGTCGAAGGACCCTTTGTTGTGTTGCTGCCTACAAACGGTGGATCTGATAGGGGGCAAAAGGTTAAAACGACTGCAATCATCGTGGTTGAAAAAAAAGACAACTCACTGTCGATGTGCCTGTCCACTTGGATCTTGACTCGTCTCCCATGTGGGCTGAACAGCCGTGACAGAGCTGCTGGAGGAATTTGGTTTTGGGCATTCAACATTCGAGTTTGACTTCAGGATATTAGCCTCTGTGTCAATCCTTGTGTTGCAGTTGCCACGGATAAGATGTCCAGCACAGTAGTTGCTCCAGCCCTTAAAGGGGTGATTTGGTGCGCAGGGGCACACCCGGAATGTGCAGAAAAAGACTCATGTGTACACATAAATGGTTACAGGACGTGGTAAGCTTTGGGGAGGGGGGAGGGGGAGGGGGAGAGATGGCGAGAAAGAGAAAGAGAGCGAGTTGGAGTTGGAGAGCAGAAGATGAAGAGAAAGGAACAGGAAGATACAAAAAGGTGGAAGCTTCTAGTTCCCACATTGTCCTGTCATTGTATACACATGTGCTTATTTGAGCCTCCAATGTTTAAGTGTAGACGGGTTATCTGTCTTGGAAAATGAGCTAAGATAAGCTCCCAATATGGGCCCTACTTTATGTAAACAGAGGGTCAGCCTCATATTTTCCGACTTCGCTTTTCCACCAGTAGTTGCTACAAAGGGAATCCGTGATTATTGCTACAAATTAAACATTCGAAACATTCGATTGCTATTCACACTGAACATCCTTATATACTCAACCTTGGAATGATAATAGCTATTTCATATCCTCAACTGTCAAATTCTACCACTACTATAAATATCTGAACCTTGCTGTCACACCATGGGCAACAGACCCTTGGAAGCAACAAACACCCAACACCTGGGCACGCAAGTCCCAGGTACCAGCAACCAGCCGCGCCCAAAGCCAAGGCGCGAACAACTAGCATACTTGACTAGGAACAAAGGAACCCGTATGTACCTTGGGACGACGATCTAAACACCAGGTTATCGGGACCGAATCCGTCAGCTCGCACAGAATCCGAAGCAAAAAACATCCGAACACCGGAAAATAATCCCCATGCATAAATGCATATACATACACACCAGAGTGTGCCGCAGATAAGCGGGTAGATCTACATCTGCAAGTAAGTTGTACAACTACCTGAACACGGTGGGTGTTCCAGAGGAGTCAGATGACTCCCACAAGGTGCACGATAGTGGTGGGGATCTCTAGGCAGTTCTGAAAGTGGCTGGGAGCTGGCGTGTGCACTGCAGGTCGACTCAATGCCCTGGATGCAGAGGGGAACAGATGCATGTCAGTTGCTGAGGAGGGGGGTTGGGGTCCAATTAGATTTGGAGAATGGCATGGGTATGGGTTAGAGAAAACAGATGTAGTGCGCTTTGTCCGTTTCATCTGGTCTGGAATTCACATGTGAATTGGACTCTCAGCCTCCTGGTACTTATTGTATGTACTATGTGTGTGTACGGAAGTAGGGGTTGATGTCTAGGGGCGATAAGGTTTATTGATGCTTTGTTGTTAGTACTCCGTACATACTATCTATCTCACTCAAGACTGCTATATAATATGAGACAATAAAACAAAAATCTATTAATACAATAATTTTTTTTTAATTCATATGGTCACATTATAAGGCGGCTCCTACGTGGCCAGCCACCCAGGTACGCATCCCGACACATAATCAGGTACAATTTACATGGATGGACCTGGTATGAGATGCAGAGCATGGCCTATGATTGGACTGATCAGTAAATAGTCAATGACCAGTCAGATAAGCAGACCGCTAGAAAGGCAAACGGATCGCCTCTTCAGGGGCGAAAGAACGGGTAGAAGTGTGCGGAGGAATAAGTACTGCCACAACAAAGAAAATATCGATGATCCCTGGAAGGCGTGAAGGTGCGGAAGTTTTAACCGTAGCCCTGGAGATCTCAGAAGTCAAAGACGTCAGCATATCCACCGATCCGGCCGGGGGGTTATAACAGGTTTATCGATAAGCCCTGCCGCTTAGTACCTGGCTCTACTTGGCTGTGCGCCTCCCTGCCAGCCCTGCAGATGTACCTACAGGTACCCGGGGTCTGGGATTTTCCCCCTCTTCTCGTACATGTTGGATCTTTGTAGCGACGATCCATGTTTTTTTTTACCCCCCCTGGGTGTATTCATATGGAATTTACAACATGAGTTGCATATTGTATTTCTCCGCTGTTCTCCGCATGGGAATTTTCCCGTGGGAGACGTCAACTAAACTGTCGATCATATAAACTAGCGGCAGGAGCCCCATCTTCACCTATTTCAGCTATAGCATCTGTTCACATCCTCGAATCATATCTCGCAAACTATGTATACGTAATATAAAATAATATGCCACACCTCATCAAGGAGGGGAACCATGTCTCCGGGGAAGAGTAGTGTATCCATATCGCCTCTTTTCTCCCCACCAACCGTGTTCGCAGGGTCATAACCGAACTTCCATAGGGCCGATCTGGGGCCAATACGGTACACGGTAAGAATTTTTTGATTTGACACCAAGCACATCATCTACATCGACCGTGGCGTCACATCGCGATTTCTGATGAGGTATTTGATCCCAAAACCAAAGTCAAGGGAATAAAGTACATTAAAGTACATGAGAACCAGGGATCTGAGAATACTGTACAGCATTGAATTCCAAGGTTGGGATTTGCCGTTTGCAGACTCGAGGGAAGTGGGGGGAAAGTTTAGCAGCGACGCAGGCACGATGGGCCAACGGGCTTAGTCCCAGGGGGTGAAAGTTTCAGATGAGGAGTTGCCTGAATGCGGTTTCAACGGAGCTGCCGGATCGTCGAGGTGACGAGTTCTTTTTTTTATTATTTGTGGTTCTCTTAGGTTCACGGAATAATACATATCGAAAGAGGTATGTTCTAGAATGTATAGAATGTATGTATGAAATGTGTAGGATGTATGTATAAAGAATGTATCAAGATGGAAATGAGATCTCTTATCAACCCCCCTCTCCCCCCCGCAGTCTTATAATCTAAAATTATCATGGGCTCGGACCGATGTGAGATCGAGGGCTCGAGCAAATGATTTTGTATAAAGACTTCGTATCGGGGCGGACCATTCGGAAGTCTTTCCCCTACCGCGTAACCATTCTTCTAAGAGTACGACGAGGTGCGATACATCCACGCGATGCAAGGGGGATGGTTGAGGAGGGGGAATGGAGTATATCGAGGTTAACCCTAAGATATCCACCCGAGTCTCGACCTTTTTTGTCTCCCCAAGAACCAAACTTATCGAGGCTTGGCAGTGCCTATTTCCAGGGTCACGGAAAGATGGTTAACGTCAAGAACCCCCGGTCTCAAGGGTTTCAACCTACTTTCGTATAATAGATTCCTATATAGATGGGAAGGACTAGGTCTAGACTTAGATTTCCAAGGCAAGTTCAAGTAGCTCCATGTAGCTTAAGTTCAAGTAGTTCAAGTCACTAATGAATCATGGAGGTGCCTGGTGCCTTTTGAATAAAATGGAGACACGCGGATATCTGGTGAAACACTTAATGATTCGCATCGGTAGCCCCGGAAGGTCTTTGAGTTCCTGTTGAGTTCCTGTCTTGACTCTTTTTTTTTGCCCCTCGCTTCCCGATAAGCCTCTTCTTCTTCTTCTCATCGTCACCATTCTCTGTTTTCTTTTTTATATTCTCTATAGTGTATACCCTGCATATATACTGACCCTTTTTTCCTTTTTTGTTCATTTTTCTTACCCGGCTGGTCGGATCTCTTATTTTTTTCCTGGAAATATTTCAGAGATGATCGCGATCAGCTAAAGACCTTCCCTTTTCTCTTTTTTCTTACATTCTTGACCTCTTCTCCCCGCCCTTGCGTTTGGGATCCTCGTACACATCCTATTTCCGCCCCTCTTTCTCTTCTTTCTCTTCCAGAGTAAGCGCACTTTCAAATCGTACGTGTTGAATTTTCTCCGAGTCTCTTTTAGTCTCTTTTTCTTCTCTCTTTTTTTTTTTACCCACTCTAGTAGTGTCCAAGTTACTGAGTTTGCGCAAATGTTCACAGTCAATCCGGCCAGACTCCGCGTCTTGATCCCCTCCGACTTCTCCGTAGCGCTGCGGTTGTTACGACTCGACATAGAGAGACATATAGAACCACAACTGGTCCTGGGGTGATTATTCCGATCGGATTGTCGGCTTTGCGACCACTGGTGGTCAGGAACATTCGCATTTGGCTCTCCGAAGACCTGACATCACTCCCGCCTCTCACCCTCTTACGTCGCTATGGCTTCCTTTCTCCCTGTCAACAACTCGGCCCCTGAAGACCACGCGATGGATGGAGCAGCTACACCCCGTGCGATCCCAAATGGCGTGCCGGTCACACCGGACGTTTCTTCGACGGAACTGTTTCCGGACGGAGTTTCACACCACAGCCACGGTAGCGACGCTTCATCCCGCACAACCTTGACCCACGCTCGAACACCGCCAACGTCTGACGAACCGATGCACGATTCCGAGGGAGAACAAGACGATTCCGATCATGATCAAAACCTAGGAAGTAACGGACCCCCCTCGAAAAAGAAGAAAGGCCAACGGTTCTTCTGCACCTCTTTCCCTCCCTGCAATCTAAGCTTCACACGGAGTGAACATCTGGCTCGCCATATTCGAAAACACACCGGTGAACGTCCCTTCCAGTGCCACTGCTCTCGGCGGTTTTCCCGACTCGACAACCTCCGCCAGCATGCTCAAACCGTCCATGTCAATGAGGAAATCCCCGGGGATTCGCTGGCGGCCACGGGCACACGGTTCCAGCGTCAGGTCCGTACAGATCGAGTGCGGCCACCAGGACGGGCACGGGCAGGTACCGGAGGCAGTGTCGGCAGTCATAGCCGAGGTCATAGCAGGAACTTGTCAACTTCGAGTATTGCGTCCACCACTTCGACATTCAGCCAACCTCCGGAACTTCGCCGGCGCCCCCCGCCTTTGATCATGGCCAACGACCCCGCAGCTCGATCCCGACTGGCAATGGATTCCATGGGAGAACCTCCGAGCACGCCCCCGGCCCAGATCCGTGGCATTCCTGGTCCCTCGGCAGCTGGATCACCATACACCCCTTCCAATATGTTTGCTGCTACTGGTGGAAGCCCCCAATTTGCTTCGCCCATGTCTGGCACAGCACATGGGTTCTGGGAAAGGGAAGATGGCCGCCCGTCGCCTTTCAGTACCGACGAGCAGCAACCCTTTCCTCGCACAGCACGGCAACGCATATCCTCCGGCATATCACACTCCCGCCGGCGCACCTTATCCGAACGCCGCTGGCGTATTCGCAAGCCCCACCAGCACACATTACTCCGTATCTCGTGATGAGAGCACCTTAAGCGCGGCCGAGGCGGAGATGCGGAGGAGAACGTGGCACCCTTCGTCATACACAGGATTTCCACGTCCTGGAACTAGTGGCCTGAACCAATACCATACACCCGACAATGTCCCGGCCTCATTCGGCGTGAACGGTTCGACCGAGCATCCGCCTCGACTCCCCGGGATTGAGAGCTTTGACAAAGTAGTCCAACGGCCGATGACCCCTCCCACTCGGAAAACCAGCCCAATGCAGCTTGATGGCCACCAGCGACCTAACCCAGGCTTTGGATCTGGGTTCAATTACACACAGCCAGCCCACCGTCCACCGCCCCCCATCTCCGGCCCTGGTCACCGACGAGGCCATGTATCCTGGGATATGTCTTTGCACCATAACCTAACCGGACTGGATATCCGAGACCGGCGTCCATCCACTGCATCTGCTTCTCAATGGAGTCAACAAACGCTCGCGGAACTCCAAAATGTGTCTTCCCGCCCATCGTCGTCTTACCAGCCTGCATTCGGCCCAACGGCCGAAAGAAGCCCTGAAGAGTATCGGGGACATCGCGCAAGCCTTTCAATCGGGAGCCGCGCACGAACTTCCCCCGAGGATTCGAGTAGCAGTGAGGGTGTCCATACCCCATCCACCGCATCGCTTGAGTATCATCCTGCGATTGTGCACAGCAGTGGATATATCGAATCTCATGATTCCTCACTGCCTTCCGATCACCCTCAACCGGTAGGAACTCCTGTTCGAACGGACGGCTATCGCCCCCGGTTACTAACGCCGTTATAGATATGTGGCCGCCAGTCTTCCCACGCGGACGGCTACGAATCCCACAACGACCGGGAGCCCAGGCCCGATGTCTTCTCAGGCTCTCCTGCCCGAAATGCGGGCCTGGGTCGCCTGGAGGCTCTTGTCGCCGTTGCCACAAGCGAGAACAAAGGAGCAGCCAAGCTATTTCTGTAAATTGTCTGGACAAAGCCCACCCATTCTACACTATTCTACACCATTCTACATCTGAAAGTCATCTTCGCTTCCTGCGACTAGCTGGAGAGCGATCATCATTATGTATACTTGGCATTCCACCCGTCTATTTCACCTGGGCGCACTCCCAACCACATTAACCACTCTTTTCACCCACTCTACCTTCCAACATTCCGCCCCTTGGCCTTTCTCGGCTTTTCCAATTCTTTCTTATTTCTATATATTTCGGGGATTCTCATACTTGCCATCTTATGACAGCGAACCCTTGATGACCTAACGACTTTGACGACGACTGATACACGACCGGGAAACATAGCCCATCTTTCTTTTACTTGTGTTCGGGAGTCTTATGTTTGTGTTTATGATTATTTTGTTTTTTTCGGACGGTTCTGGATGGCAATCTTTTTTGGATGAGTTCTTGGTCCTGAGCTGCATGTCCTGGCGTTCGCGTGGGAATTTTGTATGGATGGAGTCGCGTGCATGACGATACCTGGTTCCTCTTTCATTTTTGGTTGTGGTTCATGGTGTGAACGAGTGTTGTTGCATTTCACTCTCTTTCTCCGTGGGCTCTTCATCTCTCCCATCCCGAATCGCTTCCCCTCTCTCCACCTCCTTATCTCGCCTTCTCGTTTCGTTTTGTGTCTTATTATATTTTTTGGGGGATGGATCGTACATGATGCTTTAACGGACTACAACTATGAGGACTTTTGATATCTGTTATGAACTGAATATGACTGGAATGCATTGATATTGCCTTTCTCCTATAAGCTCACATGTGCAAATAATGAAACGTAAGAGATCACGCATAGACCAAGGGGCTCGAGAATGGAGGGCGGTGAGAGTAAGGATGCGAAAGTATCGACCGGAACCACCTGTTACCATAGCATATGGGTACATAGCAGGTCTTAGAGTATATTACACAATATATGTTATAGTGGATAGTAAGAAAACCCCAGAACCGGATAGGAATGAGGCAGCAATGACTTGCAGGTGACGTCGACGGGAAGTTTAGCTTTCCGGGGCTGGGCCTTCCAAGGTTTGAGTTCGTCCCCACTTGTAACCCTCACGTTTCTATGAACCGTGTTGGATTAATCCATATTGTAGACATTTAAGAGGGATTTGGATTTGGAATAAATTATTGAACAAGCTTCAGTGGCCAATGAATAGATCAAAAGTAAAACAGCATCTAGGAGGGGAAAAGAAAGAAAGAAAGAAAGATACAAAATACAAGGTAGAGGCAAGTTCTAGTACATGCAGACAAGGACTGGGAACAAGACGTCATAGTCGACTCGTTTCCCCGGTCATGAGAACTACCTATAAAACCAGGGAGACTTCCGATCTGCCAACTCCAGCATTTACTTCAGTTACACACTCTACATCTTCCCCTCCCAACACTACACTACACAACATGTCGAAGAGCCGGGTTCCATTGTATCTGGGTCTCGCTGCGGCGGGCGCAGGCGGTTACTACTTGTACTCTGCTGGCGGCAATCCTTCAGCAGCAAAGCACCAAATGAGAAGTACGTGCCCTGTCTGACAAATTCCCCCATGCTATTGAACTGCCTGGGGACCTTGAGCTAACTCTCCTCCTCCACCCCAGTCGACGCTGAAAAGGCACGCGAGAAGATCCCAGGCACAAACAACGCCGAGAAGTATGGCACGGATGTCGGCAAGGAAGCCGGTGCCAATGTCGATGATGCTGTAAGTCCCTATTCTGTCCACGGTGTCAATCAAGCATCCGTCCTCGATACTCGAGACTCGCCGCACCAACTACAACTGGAGATAATGTGACATGTCATACTAACCATCCAATTCTAGATCGCCAGAGCCCGCGCCGAAGGCAAACGCATCCCCGAGTTCGCTCAGGAGGGCAAGGAGAAGCTTGATGAGCTCCGCGGGGAAGCAAAGAGCAAGTTCAATGCCAATCGGGATAAGATCAACAGCAGTGTTGAGCAGATCGATCGCGACGTCGAGCAAAAAGCTGCTGAGGCCAAGGGGGCCGTCTCTGGCTGGTTCGGTAGCAAGAAATAAGCTCTTTTCGCCATTGAGCCTCGACGATTTAACTTTATTTTTTTATTACGGCGCTGGTCGGTTTGAGAATATCACGAAGAATTCCATGTCCATGAAACTTATGCGTGTTTCCTGTGAAAATGTCGATGTAGTTGGAGCTCATGTATGCGAAGTATTCAATGCACCCGGTACTGGCTGGTCTGCCCAGGGCGCGACATGAAACTGAGTATTGTCAATTAATCCTTTCTCGATAGTAAAGGCCGATTTGGAATTGATTTTCTGCCATACATTAGCATCGGACATCTCATGCGCCCGGAGAAATGTCCAGGCGCTAAGTGGGACACTATGACATTCCAATGCCGGAGTATTACCATAGTGACGAGAATGCCTGAGCTTGGAGCTCTCTTATATTTTATACTCAATTTTTCTCCAGAATTTATTATATTAAAACTTCTCTCTCCCTTTTCAAACGAGTCTCCTAATATTCCATATTTGACTTGAAGTTCTTATAGTTCCGGCTCACGCGTTTCCATTTGACCCGAAAAGGCTAGTGTGGGTTTTGCAACGCGCCCTCGAACGCGTCTCTCCTTTGCACCTTCTCTGACATCTCCTCCCACTTTCCACTTGCCACTTCCCACACTTTCCCACTTCTTGTTTACTTTAATATCTCGGTATCTCTTACCTTGTCTATTATAATACAGTTGTATCCATCGCCCTTTCTTCATTTATCCTCCCTCGACCGGCAAAAAATTTTCAGCAGTCGCGATGCCGCGCACCTCCCGGTCAAGCTGCGTTGCCCAGCCAGCCATTCAAGCCTTTACTCGGGCAACCAAAGCCGGCATTACTCCGCAACTACCTGTAAAGAAGATAACGTCTCTTCCGGTCTCGCCTTCCAAGAAACGCAAACTGCAGGAACTCGAAAACTTCGATAACGGAAGCAGACACGCGCCAATTGAGGAGGAAGGCACGCCCTCGAAAACTTTGCGATTGAACGAATTGTCTGTTTCCTCACCACGCAGCGGCCACTATGTCTCTCCCAAGAAACCTTCACCCGCGAAGACCCCGAGTCGGACCCCGAGTCGACGGGTTGCCCCTGTCAAGAACGCGCCCTCGACACCCGCTACCCCTTCGAAGCAACGAACCCTGAATTTTGAGAAGGTTATCTCGGTGCATGAGGAAACCCCAGCTATCGAGCGCCCTGCGTTCTTCAACGATATTCTCAACCTTCACTCCTCCTTTGTGCAGGCTTTCTCCATTCACATGGCACATAATGGCGCAAATACACCTGCGGACCTCCGAGAATTCCTTGGCAGTGTGACCCGCCTCTGGAATAAGCGCAAGGTGCAGATGAAGGACTTGCAACGTCTTGTGTGGGTCTGGGAAAAGAGTTCGAAAGCGAGACACATTTCATATCGTCTGGCAAATTATGGACTCGGCAAAATCTGCATGGAGCGCACCGTCCAGGTCAACGTGCAGCCTCCGGCTTTGCAAGACTCTTTCGAAGAAGCTTTGGACTTGCTGTGGGAAAAGGCCCCGGAGGCCCTTCGAGATGCCAATGAGGAAGCCCAAGCAACTATGTTCATCGAGTCTCTCGGTCTCTCCACAATCCACGAGTCGCTCACCCCTTTCACGGTTTTCCAGAAAGGCCAACAACGACTCCAGGATCTGAAGGGTGGTCTGCTCCGCTTGAAGGCCGAGAGAATGCGCTCAGAGTCAGCAGAGACGACTCCCCTGGAGCGGACGGCAACGACCAGCCGCCGCCAGGGCCTGTTGGATCGCATTAAGAATAAGGAGCTACGCCAGTCCAAGCTCCCTCCTCCACCTGCCAAGAAGGAGCTCGTGCGACGTGCAGCCGCCGATCGAGTGGAGGAGGTAGCTGGGATTCTGGCCCTGTTGCGTCCTGCTGGGTATGTGGGTAATGGTATCAAGGCCATGCTTGCAGCCCAACGCAAGCCGTTCAAGCTCGATGTGATGGTCGAGCATGTCCGTGACTCGGTCCGCAGCGAGATTCCCCGTGAGGAGGTGGAGATGTGTCTTGAGATTCTGTCGGATACAAAGGTGGCTGGTGATTGGATCAGTATGGTTACTGTTGGCCAGATGAAGTCGGTCGTGTTGAAGTCTTGCAAAGATGTCTCTGCCAAAGATATTGGGGCGAGAGCCGCCCAGCTGAAGGCTGACTGGGAGAAGTCTGTATCTTGTGTGCAGACTCCTCTCTTGTGATTTACGTTTTTTTGGTGTGTTCTTTTGTTTTTCATTGTTGGATACCTCACATCCGCGGAGCCGGTCTGCTCGTGGTCTTGCATCAGCGCTCGATACCCTGTACTTTATCATATGTCTTTTAGCATTAAAACTACCTTAGGTAGTACTTAGCAATTAGGTCCTCGGACACCCAATCATAATACTACTATCATAAGAAATGTCCAACCGCTCTCGCCATGTCTAATGTTTGGTAGTTTTTTGCTAATCTTCTTGGTAGTCTTCTTGGTTGTCTTTTTTGGTGCCTTTTACCGTTGTTGGTTTTATGCTAGAAAGATGAAAATATGATTAAAAGCACAAAACGTATGAACTAAATTTTTCTATGTATAACCAGGCATTAACCACCGAAATTGATTCCTGAAGAAACCTCTTTAAACCCCTGGCAACACGGAGCACGGAGTAGATCATACCCACTTAACGCGCGACGCGTGCACGGACCACGCGAGTTCGAGCAGCGCGTCGAATTGGACTCGTCCAAACTACCTTGATACCAGCATTTGCATTGTCCTTTGCTGCTTTTCTTTTAACACCAACCGACACCATGTCTTCCCGACCTGACTTGAAGGTATGAATTGAGCTATTGAATATACCCTAAACCCACCAATACAGCATCCACTAACTCAAACACTGAACACAGGTCGACGATGAACTCGGCTTCATTGGCTTCTACCGTGGCCTCCCTACACCCGATAATAATGAAACCATCCGTGTATTCG